CCATTTCCCCCAAACCCCGCCAGAATTCCCAGATTTATCCCATTTCCCCCAAACCCTGCCAGAATTCTGGATTTATCCCATTTCCCCCAAACCCCGCCAGAATTCTGGATTTATCCCATTTCCCCCAAACCCCTCCAGAATTCCTGGATTTATCCCATTTCTCCCAATCCGGGCTCGGTGGATCGGGTGGGGTTTGGCCCTTTCAGCTCGTTGCATTTGATCCCATCGGGATTCCATGGATTTGGCCCTCGCTGGTGCTACTGCCCCCCAAAATTCCCGGGGGATTCCCAAACTCCCCCCCAGGGCGCCCAAAGCGGCTTCGGAGCTTTTAATGTCATTTTGATTTCCTCTTTTGGTTTTTATTCCCTTTTTTTTCTGCTTCTTTTGCATTGCTTTAATTTTTAATTCCATTTTTCTTCCCTTTTTATTTTACATTTTGGTTTTATTTCCTTTCTTTTTATTGCTTTTTTATTTCTCGATTGAATTTTCACTTGCACTTCTTTCTTTTTTAATTCAATTTATTTCCCTTTTTATTTCCTTTTTAACTTCCTTTATTTTTTTCTTTCGCTTTCCTTTTTTCTATTCCATTTTTTATTTCATTTTTTGGTTTTTAATTTCCGTTTTAACTCCACATTTAACGCCACCAAGTGAATCCAAAGCTTCTCCCCACTATTATTCATTTTTCCTGCTTTTCCGCAGTTTCCCAGGACAATGCTGTATTTAAAGAGAATATTTAAGTGGAAAAATAAAAAGTGGTTAAACTTGGCGGGGAGTTGTGCCTTAAATAGGGGCAAATCAATAAAATTTGGGTCAAACCACTGAAATCTGGCCAAAATAGAACAAAAAATTGGGTTATAATGAAATTTGGGTTAAATCCACCAGGATTTGGGTGAGGCTTGCTAAGTTGGGGTTAAATTCACAAAATTTGGGGTAAAATCCCAGCCCTGGGTTCCTTCAGACCCTGGCACTGGACTTGGTCCAGAATGGAATTGGGGTCACCGGGGACCCCCCTGGACCCGGCTGGGCCCCGTCCCATCCTTCCATCATTTCCATCCTTCATCCATCCTTTCCTTCCATCCATCCTTCCCATCCTTTCATCATTTCCATCCTTCCATCATTTCTGTCATTCCATTATTCCATCTTTCATCCATCCTTCATCCATCCATCCATCATCCATCCATCATCCATTCATCCTTCCCATCCATCCTATCCTTCCATCCTTCCCATCCTTCCGTTATTCCATCATTTCCATTTATTCCATCCTTCCACCCTTCATCCATCCTTTCCATCCTTCCATCCTTCCCATCCTTCCATTATTCCATCCTTCCCATCCTTCCATCCTTCATCCATCCATCCTTCCCATCCTTCCTGTTGTTCCTGTTGTTCTGTTGTTCCCGTCATTCCATCATTCCATCCTTCATCCATCCTTTCTATCCATCGTTCCCATCGTTCCATCATTTCCATCATTCCATTATTCCATCCTTCCCGTCGTTCCTGTTGTTCCCGTCTTCCCATCCTTCCCATCCTTCCCATCCTTCCCATCATTCCATCCTTTCCATTCCATTATCCCATCCCAGTTCCCATCCCATTATCCCATGGATCCCATCCCACATCCCATCTCATGATCCCATTATCCCATTCCGTGGATCCCGTTATCCCGTACCAGTTCCCATCCTGTTATCCCGTCTCATCCTATCCCATCCCATTATCCCCTTGTTATCCCCTTGTTATCCCCTTGTTATCCCATCCCATTATCCTGTTATATCAGCCCTGTTCCCATCCAGCTATCCCGTTATCCCATTCCCATCCCGTTGTTATCCTGCTGTCCTATCCCGTTATCCCGCTATCCCAGTTCCAATCACAAATCCCATCCCATTATCCCATTATCCCATCCCATGGATCCTGTTATCCCATCCCAGTTCCCATCCTGTCATCCCATTATCCCAGTATTCCATGCTATCCCATTATCCCATTATCCCATCCCGTTGTTATACCATCCCCATTCCCATCTCGTTATCCTGTCATCCCCATTCCCATTCTGCTATCCCATTATCCTGTTACACCGTTATCCCATCCCCGT